ACGGTGTAGAATGAAATGTCGTCGCTCCAACAACTCATGCTCGACGACAAGGAGTTTCCGATCTCCAACACGATCTACGGCGCGTTCAACTCGGCGGTCTCGGTCCCCAACATGATCATCCCGTTTGTCGGTGGTCATCTCCTCGACTGCAAGGGCCACGTCACGATCCTCTACTTCCTCATCCTCATGTGCTGCGGCCAAGCGCTCTTTGCGTACGCCATGGAGCTGCACTCGATCTGGCTCGCGATGGCCGGACGCATCATCTTTGGTCTTGGCGAGGGCAGCGTCGTGGTCGGCGGCCGCGCGATCGTCGCGTACTGGTTTGACCGGTCCGAGCTCACGTTTGCGATGGGCACGTCGGTGGGTATCACCAACATCTCCAAGATGCTTGCGAAAGCGACGGTGGCGCCTGTCGCGCTCTACTTTGGCAGCTACGTGTACGGTCTCTGGTACGGCTTTGTGGTGTGCATCGTGTCGTTGTTGGTGGCGCTTGTCGTCGGCCGCGCTGCGCAGACGCTCAAGCGCATCAAGCGCGACGTCAAGCACCAAGTGCGCGCGGGCGCCGAGCTCGTGTCGGTGATCGCGCCGTCGCTCACGTGGCTGAGCTCGTACTGCTACGTGCGCCGCGCCAAGAAGGCCGATGTCGTCCACGAGAAGCTGTCGTTCATGGCGATGGGGTCGTTCTCGCCGCTATTTTGGCTCGTCGTCGCACTCCACGTGACGTTCATCAACGTGTTCCACCTCTTCCAGAACGTCTCGGCGAGCTACTTTACCCAAGTGCACGGCTACTCGATCGTGAACGCTGGGTACGTGAGCAGCTTGGCGCACGTGTTTGTGATCTTTGCGCCGCTCGTGGGCCTCGTGGTCGACTGCGTTGGCGGTCGCATCCAGCTCATTCTGTGCTCGTCGTGTCTGAGCATCCTCGCGTACACGTTGCTTGTCTTCACCAACATCAACCCGATCGTGCCGATGCTCATGATCTCGCTCTGCCTCTCGGTGACACCGACGATTCTCATGGCCAGCATTGCGCTCTCGATCTCCAAACACCGGTTCGGGACGGCGTTTGGTATCGTCGAAGTTGTCGATGCACTCGGCGGTTTTGTCGGCAACATTGCGATCGGCTACATCCTCGACACGTCTGGCGGCTACAACGCCGTCATGCAAGTGCTTTTGGGCCTCGCCTGCCTGACACTTGTGCTGGCACTCGCCCTCGCGCGCGAAGACACGCGGACGGGCAACCACCTGGCGGCCGCCACGATCGCCAAAAACAACGAGGATGTCGAGCTGCGGGAGGCCGACTATAGCACCTCTGGCAGCGACGGCGGCTGCCCCGAAGGCGTATATGTCTAAGTGGCCCCTTATTTAATACGGTTTTTGTATGCAAACTCATTGTCCTTTTCCATCGACGCCCAACATCATGGTTGAAGAACCTAGCACCGACTGAGGAGGGCACTGCAAAAACGAGTGGTCGAGCTCCGTTCGGTGGTGCTGCGGCGGCGTTCTTGCCTACCACTACGGTACGACTACAGTGTACTATCGGGAGTGGCCGAGAGCGCGTGCCAAACTCGACGAACGGTAATGATTGGTGGGACATTTGTGTGTCAACGAATTCTGGACTGGACGAGCCATCCTCCGACGTCCTTATGCACAAACTTGTTCAGTCGACAGTGGCGGTTCCAAGCATGGTGCTACGATTTGTCATGAAAGAAATCTCAAACAAAACACGTATTTCGTATACTTAGTAGGGTTAGGTTTCCGAGGGTCCCTACACGTGGATCTTGGGCGCGCACCCTTCTTCGGCGCTGGAGCTCGAGCTACCGGCCTCGACGAGCTCATCGTCGTCGACTTCGCCCTTCTTCTTGATGGTCGCGGTCGCAAGGTGGCCACCGTGCTGCTTGTCGACAAAAGCGACCGCGAGCGTCAGCAGCAGCGTGAGGCAGGCAAAGGCCATTAGGATTTGCATGACGATTGTGTAGCTGCCGGTCGTATCGCGGAGGTACCCGATGCCGAGGTTGCCGCTAAAGGCGGTAAAGCCGTTGACAACCTCAAGAATGCCGTACGCGGTGCCAAAGCGCTGCTTGGAGACCGTGAGCGGAATGCTCGAGAGCAAGATTGACGGCGTCACCGAGAGGCAGAGCGAGAT